TATCTCTCTCTGTCTCATATATATTGGTGCAGTGGGTACAGCCCCTGCCCAATTTTTCTTCATTATATATATATATATATATATATCATATACATATATATATTGGTGCGGGAGTACAGCAACTGGCAGAAAAAAAAATTCTGTATATATATATCTCATATATATATATATATATATTACAGTAACCTTAATTTTCCAGCAGCTACATTAATTTTTAAGTAGCTTAAATATAAATTTTTTTAAAAAAATAATTCATCATATGAATAAAATAAAATAAAAACAAAAAATAAAAGTAATCAAATATTTAAGATCTCATATCAAAAATTAAAATTTAGCAATATAATTTAAACATAAAAATTTATGGCTATGATACATTAATTGATTATAGTACTTTTATAATACAAAAGATGAAAAAATAATTCAATTAAATTTATTTATTTATACTATAGATTAAAAATTAAATCTAAAATAAACATATTAATAGATTTTTAAATTAAAATTGTTCAAAAAATACGAACATTCTATACATATTTACAACAAAACCAATTTTTATTGTTCAACATTTTAATTAATAGAACATACTGACAAAATGAATAATATATATATTAAAAAAATTTAACAAAATCTTAATAGAAAAATTTACTAATTTTTCTTTTTATTGTGCGGCTGATGTTTTAATTCAACTCTTCATCTTTCTTTTGGACTCTCCCTGTGGACGTCCAAATTTATTTGGACGTCATCCACCTTTTTTTTTTTCTTCTTTTTAACAGTTAAATATTTTATATATATATATATATATATATCTTTTTTAATTATTATTATTTAATAAAATAATTTCATAACCAATTTAATTTTAAATTAAATTTTACAATAATTTCAATTATTATAATATTCACACATATTATATTATTACACTAATAATATAATAATCAAAATATAAATATTAATTTTTTATTTTAAAAATAAAAAATTTTAATTTATCTTAAATATTAATTATATTCTTGATACTAACAAAAAATATAATAATATTCTATTTAAATTAAAAATTTTATATATTTGATTAAATTAAATTCTCTAATTTATTTTTTAAATAATTAGAATAATTAGTCTATTCAGTAAAAATCAGAACACTTGTTAAGTACGACCCATAGATTCAACATTAAACCGATAGCAAATTAGTCAAACTAATTTACTAATTAAAATTGGCATCTAGCAACACTTCTCAACCACCGGATAGTATGAAATGTATAATTACTCTTAAAAATCTGTTAAAGAAATATGTAATACTTTTTTCCGTAATTATTATTCCGAGTTAATTCTAAAATATAGTTTAACTGTCAAATTCTAATAGGTAACTAATTATGTTTTATGTCTGTCATAATTAACTAATGAATAACATAAAAAATTCTTTTTTTCTTTCATTCAACTGCCCTAACCAAAGTGTTAATTTAGTCATTATAATAAATGACAACATAGAGCTTAAACTTATTACCCAAGTTGACAGATTTCGTCTTGATCAATTATTAATTCTACAAGTATTTAATCACACTCAATATCTTTTCAACTACAGTTCTATGACTATAGGTGTCTATAATCAAAATATAATAAATAATTTATCAATTACTATGATGATATCAGGTTTAAAAAAATTTTTACATCTCATCAAAATAAGAGAATACTCTATTGACAGTTTAAAATAATATTAATATTAGAAATTCTCAATTGAGTCAGTTCAGTGATCATATCTCCATATGCATCATCTATATATGTGATTTAGTTAATGAACTTAACTAATCTTTTATCTTATAGAAATTATTACATATATATTAGTCTTTCCGAATTATTAATGTCCTATTTTGATGATCCAACGATTAAAAATATTTTAAATTAAATTATAAAATATTTTACTCGCCCAATATAAAATTTATAAATTTAATTAATAATTCTAATCATAAATTAAATAATAAATACAATAATAAAATATTATTATTATATATTAAAATAAACTATCAAAATAATAATATATTCATCATATTGCATTAATAATTAAATGTGTCCAGAACACTTATATTCCCAACACCATCATCTTTGCGTTCCAGAAAATCACGAGGAGAAGACAGCGACGAACACGAAGCTTGCTGATAGCTATGGCGATGAAGATTTCCATGCTCAACCCCATAGCTGCTGTTTCCATCTTCAGTTACCAGCGCCATGAATCAAGCTCTCAGCGTCATACAAGGCCTCTCCTTTCAATCTCAAGCTCTCTGCATGGCACAATTTGTTCTTCACTGTCACCGTTTTCTTCGTCTTCTCGGCATGAGATTAGAGCCGGACCTCAAAAGTTGGTCGATGAATTTGACCCCAAAATCCCAATTGAGGAAGCCTTGACCCTGCCCAGCTCCTGGTACACCGACCCTTCTTTTTACTCTCTTGAGCTCGATCGCGTTTTCTATAGAGGCTGGCAAGCCATTGGTTCGTTCCTTTCTTCTTTGCTTCCCTATTGTATTGATCGTTGAAGGTTCATATCGAGAATTTGAACATGGGTTTGCTTGATTGATTGCCAGGATACACTCAACAAATACAAAACCCACATGACTTTTTCACCGGCAGGTTCGGATTCTTGATTTCATTTCTTGTCACTTGATGCTCAATGGGGGTATTAGGAAACGGAAGATTTCTTGAGAATCAGATTTCATTGGAGGCTCTTTAGCTATTTTTCTTCATATATTATGTTTCATCATTCACGCACACCAACTTCTCGACTGTTTGTTTGTTAGATAGATTGGGAGATATAGAGTTCGTGGTATGCAGAGATGATAATGGTAAGATTCATGGTTTCCACAACGTGTGTCGCCATCATGCCTCTCTTCTTACCTCTGGAAGTGGGAAGAAATCTTGCTTTGTCTGCCCTTATCACGTGAGTTCTTGTTCATCTTTTTCTTGTCTGGAAAACTAATTTTCAACTATATATGTGTATATATGTGTCCATATGCCAATATGAAAACTTCATCACGGGCCAAATTGGCGTTTTACTTCACTGGAAAACTCGTTTTCAACTATATATAAGTGAAAGTTGATTATCTTTACATTCATTCAAAAATATTTCACCACTCATAGCGATAAACTTTTATATCCCTTTCATTGTAGTATTTATGAACAAGTTCCTAGATAATAAGGTTAAAGGTTTCTTATTGATGATTCAATATTGATGATAGTAACAATATTGATGCTAGTAGCGAAAACTGTTGTCCTATCTTTGAACTAAATTCTTTCTTATTAAAGAATCTTTTTCTAATTGCTCTGGAACAATTAGAAGGTTCTCTAGAAAAAGTATGGGGTTCTGGCGACATAATGTTTTAGCTAGGTGGAAATAAAACACTTTTCCTCTATGTGTATGTATGTATATGTTCATTTTTACTTGACCGGAAAAGTTCAGGCTTTGTTTGCTGAAAACGTTCTCTAGTCTAGAAAACTATTTTATTTGTATTTATTATCTTAGGAACATCCATCTTCTACATGGTTTCATGACCAAGAATGTATAAAAACACATAAATTTACAAAATGAAAGAATGGAGCCTAATTTTAAACTATTAAGATGCTAGATTTGTGCTCATTTGTGCTCCTATTTTACCAGATTATTCTTTGCTGCAGGGATGGACATACGGGTTAGATGGAGCACTTCTTAAGGCTACTAGAATTACAGGAATAAAGAATTTTGATGTAAATGTAAATATTCACTAGAATTCCAATTTTATTTTCGTCACCTCGGAAAATTTTCAAATTGGTGGGGTAATATTCTTGGTTTCTTTGGCCACGGAGTATAGGAATTTGGCCTTGTACCACTCAAGGTAGCTACTTGGGGACCCTTCGTTCTCCTCAATATGGACAAAGAGATTTCGCCTTTGCAGGAAGTGAATAGTGGTGTGGTTTCTAGTGAATGGCTAGGTAGCTGTTCCGAAATCCTGAGTATGAACGGAGTTGATTCTTCACTAAGTTACATCTGTAGACGTGAATATACTCTTGAATGTAATTGGAAGGTAAACTCCTAATGTGGTAGTTTATGCTTCACTGTCTATCAATTAATGGATTCCCCTTTGATTTCTATCTACATTTATGATAGCCTTGATGAACATAGATCATAGATAACTGTTTATTTATTCAATTTTCTTGCAGGTTTTCTGTGACAACTACTTGGATGGTGGGTATCACGTGCCATATGCACATAAAAGACTTGCTTCTGGCCTTAAGCTCGTTTCTTATTCTACAAGAGTATGTTTCTTCAACTATTTCATCTTTATACTTCTACTATTTGTTTTATGTGGAGATTATACTTCTATAATTAGTTTTCTTTTGATGTAGAGATTAGTGAAAGCTATGTTTTGAATATAACTTTTTTTTTTTTTTGTAATTTACTGGGAAAGTTAAAGGGGATGAGGAATTTTATTGGAAAATGATTTTTTATGAGCTCAATTTTTATCTATCTTAAATAAAGAATTTATTGTCTGCTAGTATAGTTACAGATTTCTAAGTGAAATTTATGAGAAATCTTGATTTGGTTCAAACATAGAGTAAGAGATTCGTGTTTATGATTCAGATATTTGAGAAAGTTAGCATTCAAGAATGTGAAGGTAATTCTGCGTCAAGCGAGGATGAGCTTAACAGACTTGGATCAAAAGCATTATATGCTTTTATCTATCCGAATTTCATGATTAATAGGTGCTTCCTTGTACATATATGTGAATGGTTAATATAGGAATTCTCTCTTTTGGCACTGCTGATACTTTCACCAATATATGCTTTTTTTTTTTTTTTTTTTTTTTTTTTTTGAAACTTGTAGGTACGGACCTTGGATGGATACCAATCTGGTAATCCCTTTGGGACCAAAGAAATGCAAAGTTGTATTTGACTATTTTCTTGAGGATTCACTTAAGGTAAGTGGTTGCTGAATATTCTTGATTATAATTATAGCCAGAGTTATAAGACGGGGATAACTAGTAACTCTTATACCAGATTATATCATAACAAAGAAACTATATAGTGATAATTGAAATGAACCCAATTGATATATAAGTTAATATAGATCTTACTATATACTTTCTTGGGGGACCTAACTCTTGTATCGTACAGATTCAGTATTATTTAGTAGTCTTCCCTTATTGGAGAGAAGAGGTGAAGACTTTATTTTTTCTTTTGAACTTTATATGGTATTCTCAAACTTTGGGTCTCAGGATGATGCATCTTTCATTGAGAGAAGTTTAGAAGACAGTGAAAGAGTACAGGTACGAAAGTCAGTTCATGGCCTTTTATATTTGAAAGGTCGATAGGTCTATTTCATCGCAGTTAAATTATTTTGTTTTTTGATTCTTTAAAAGAATACTTGTATGTTTGACATGGGAATTTAAAATTAAATAAATCAATATCAAAATTAAAGAAAAAAACAAAAGAAGTATGAAATAGCAGTGCAAGAAAAAAACTAAATTGTTATAAGCCGTCATACAGGCGGAAGATATTATGCTATCAGAAGGTGTTCAAAGAGGCATTGAATCGCCAGCATATAATAGCGGCAGATACGCTCCTGAGGTGGAAACACCAATGCACCATTTTCATTGTTTGCTTTACAAGAATCTCCAAGAATAGTTTTATGCTACGTTAAGAGTATTTAGATATATATATATATATATGTGCGTGTAGAAAATAATTTCCCTGTTTGGACAGTACCGGAGTTATCAACCTGCATGGATAGTTGTTTGCAATCACCTCCGTGGAGGAGATTCGGATTTAAGCCTTATTTTAACTTTATGGCAATTTCTTTTTTTTTTTTTTTTAAAGATATGATATTAGACAAAAAAAAAATTATATTACCATACTATCGTTATGTAGTACAAATCATGGTTTATAATCTAATACCATATTCAATATTTTAAGATATGGTATTCAACAAAGACAAACATCTCAAGAAAACAACTTGCTATTTATTTCATCCTTGGTGCAATTAACCATGGACTAAAATTTTTTTATTCTTGCAAGGACTGATAATTGATCACCTAAATGAAAGTACAAATGCCGATCAAATAACTAAAATTAAAGAATTTCAAATATAAGAGATCAAAGATCACACAATACACAAATCTATACGGTTCAAACACAGAATTGCAAATAACTTCTGTGTTCTGCAGTAAAACTTCTCAAACCTTAATTCTTCTTTAAATATTAAAATAAACTGTTAACAGAGAAAGGGCACTGCACCGAAGAACGTGTACAAAGAGAAAACAATTCTCCCCTTTCAACAAGTATGTTAGTGTAGAAAACAGATCTAGCCAAGTAGATTGATCGATAAAAAAGAAAGATCCGTGTATGCTTCTATAGTCCTATAAACCAAAAAGAGAATGTGTAACAGCCTGTACTGTGCAAGGTTGATTTTTCTCTCATGTAAATCTCAAACCAGCTAATGACACTAATAACCTGAAAGAAAGTTCAATCTAAAACATATCACAAACATTAAAATTGAGATTTAAAAGGAAAAGCTTGAGATTAAAAGCATAGGTAAGTATAAAGCTCTCTTACTTCTGAGAACCTCATTGACGTCTTCGTCGAAAGAACTCGGCAAGAGGAGTTTCTGGAACAGGGATAAATTTCCCAACAAAAGCAAGTGGCCAACTAAATGAAATAAAAGAAAACGAGCTTCTAGTCAGCTCCAAATAACTTATGGTATAATTCCATAATTGTTGCCAAATAATTTACAACTTACCTGATAAAACCAATGCCGATAGAAATCAGCCAAAACTTCCAGTTGAGCCTCACAGTTGAAGTAAACTTGCCTAGAAATTCGATGATGACAACCTATGTAATACAGAGCAAATGTAAAACTGCATAAAACTAGAAGCCCCAAAGAATTGAACCAGGAAGTGAAAAATCTCACCTGAAGAACAAGAGTTAGAGCTACTATCATCATAAAGAGATGGTTTGTTGTAATTCCTTTGAAAATATTTTTTTCATCAGGCTTTCGGGCATTGAATTCATTAAAAATCTGCAGTTCAGAACATTTTCTACTTGTCAGGTTTGTGCTATTGGAAGATAAAAGCATCAATATTCATCCCCCCTCCCACAGACACACACACACAAAAGAAAAGAAAAAAAAAAAAGCAAAAAACAGAAAAAAGGAAAGAAAAAAAAAAACACTCGCATATAGCAACATTAAGGCAGACTTGAGTGGATGCATACATGCCAAAGAGGTAACAGGACGACCAATGTGCAAAAGTACAATGCTTGAGCAACTTAAAGGATCTTGAAAAACATCACACTAAACTGAAAAAGCATTTTGAAGATCAAAGCAGGCTGGATCTGAAAAATGGATCATGGCCCCATCTCAATAATAACCAAACCACCAAAAAAATACACCAACATCACCAGTCATGAAAAGAAAAAATCTGCATGCAACCAAACAAACTGAAGCCAGCAAGCATAAAACAAAGAAAGTCATTTTCTTTTCTCACTTTCAGGCAGAAAATGCAAGAAATTGTGGAAGATGGTGAAGGGATGACTCACACGCTAAAAATATTAAATATAAAACATTCTTTTCATAGTTTACGGTGCCCAACCCTCACTAATAAATACAAAATTAACTCGAATTGCTCCTTCCATTTTTTAATGAGTTTGTACCAAAAACATTAGAGACTCGATTATATTATATGTTAGTTATGAGATTATTGCCGCCTGTATGAATATACTTATTTTGGGATATGGATCAGGCATGAAATTTGAACTTAACCATGTTTAAAAACTTTAAACTCATTAAGATTAAGAGACAAGTTTTAGGAGATAAAAAACTAGAAGCATAAAGATGCTTCATTAAAGAAAATGAAAATGAGACTTTCTGTGCAATATTATCTTGTTGCATAAAGAATAAATATGAATTTCCAGGCAGTATTTGAATGGACAAAAATATAGAAGATGAATGGATTGAAATGTAGAAGAGGAATCTCAAACTAAGAAGTCTATTTTTCCATCCTCAAATACAAGAACTGATTAGCAACTTACTTGACAAAGAACAAACGCGTTGAATATCAGTGTATTCTTCTCTCTGTTAGCTCGATCAGCTGATTCATGCTCCAGATTCAGTATGCTCTTGCCACGGAAGTTGAGGACCAACAGGACAGAGACTTGATAAATAGCCTGAAATTTCCAAACCACCAACGCTAACATTTCATCTTAATTGACATCAGATGCTGAGTTGAAGGACGTGTGCACAAAACGTGACAAAACATTATAAAACATCATAATGGAAATTAAACTAACAAAATTATGTATATGACACTTGGAAGAGTCCAAAGGAGACAAAAAAAAATTTCTTCTACTGACTGTCCTACAATCTTCACCACAAACAAAGAACTTAAGGATCATTTCTATCACCAATTTCTTATTTCAAAAGAAAAAATTTCCATCACCAATTTCAAACACTGCAAAGTTACTTCATGATAGAAGATAAACAAAAAAGAGTATTACCTGGATTAGCAAATTCCTCCACATGATGTTAGTTATAAGAGGTTCTCTGAAAAGAAAATATATGAGTATCACCATTATGCTAACATAATAAAGCAAAGAGAAGACAGAGGACATACGCCTAGCAGAACTTGAAAAGCTCCCAACAAAGAATCCAATAACCAGATTACAATGTTAAGATTTAACAACAGTTTTAATAACAGATTGACAAAAGTACCTAACAAGATTAGATCAGTTCATAAACAAAAGATTTTGAAGATCATGCTAATTATATTCAAAGCTATGACTAGGGCCTCCAAGATGAATCATTCAATAATATGCAATTAGCCCCAGTCCCATTCCTGAAGGTCAGTATTTTCAAATCTGTAAAAATTGGTAGACATCATAAGAAAATGCACACTCATCCACCACTAGTACGATGTTCATTCAATGAGGAAAGATCAAGAAAAAAAAAAAACAGACCAGTATTTATGATGTTTTCATTAGTTCTGATTGGATTAACTCTTTAGGCATAAGCAAAAATATAACATAATGTCCCTTTTGATATGTCCTAGGGTCCTCGTGAAGTTTTAACTTGATTAAGCTTTAGACTCAACAAGGTTCTTTGAGCCATCTGTTTCACCTTAATCACCTCTGTCCCAGTCTTCTGCATGACTATGGTACATGTATACTAATTATTACATATTTTTCAGTACTTTATTGGAATTTCATCAGCATTTATTTTACAGTGTTCCTATAATGAATATATTCTCCTGAATAGGAAATTGCATACCTCCTACCAACTGGAGGCCTGTGCATCAGGTGATCAGTTGGCGGTTCAGTAGCCAACGCCAGTGCTCCAAGAGTATCCATGATGAGATTGACCCAAAGGAGCTAAACGAAAGGAAACCAAGCTCATTAGCATACAGATTCTTGCACTTACACACAAATAGACATACAACACATCATTCAAAAAGGTAAGAATGACAGAGGAGAGATCACTAACCTGCACTGCATTTAGGGGAACATTACCAGAGGAAACTGCAGCCACCACATTTATAATGAGAGCTGCAACATTAACTGTAAGCTGAAATTGGATGAATTTTTGAATATTGGCATAAACAGATCGACCCCATCGGACAACCTGCATTAAACAGATAATAGAAATTACGGGTGACCTCCTTTCTCAATTATTGGATTTAAAATATCAACTCAATGCACTCATCTTTCTTAGGAAAAGACAGCAATGCTTATCAATCAGGATACATAGGGGGAAAAAATTCAGGTTAACAATATGAAAGAGAGTTAAACTAATGATACCAAGTACAAAAGTTTATTGTAGAGAAACAAATTCCCAAAACATCATCCACTCTTACAGACCCTCAAATCATATTTCTAATTCCTGATTCCATTTCTTCAAAAAGAAAATGTTTTAATTATGATAAAAGGAAAAAGAAAAAAAACCTAAGCTTTTTAATAACCAAAACAGAAACAATCGAATAAATATACTAGCGTCCACAAAAGTGTAAACCTTCACAACTGAAGCAAAATTATCATCCAAGATGATGATATCTGAGCTCTCTTTAGCAACTTCTGTCCCTTGAATTCCCATTGCAAGGCCTATATCCGCCTGAGCTCCATTGTTGGTCATCCATATCAATGAGAGAGAAAAAAAGTTCAGAAGATTGTTACTAATAAAAACAATAATAGAAACTACAACAATGATAAGAAATAAAAACAATTTTCATGACAAATTATTGCAGTTACTGAGGCTAAAATAACATTCTTTTTTTTTAAATAAAAAGTACAAAAGTATATTATAAAGCACCAAGAGGGTGCCACCCCTGTACAAAAATATTTACATAGTAATAATCATTTCAACAATATTCCCAAAATGTTCCATCCTACATACATCATAACCTAAAATCAACGAGTCAAAAAGATGAAACCATCTATCTCTAATAACATTCATGCAAGCAAAGCAATCAATATGATGACCCATTCATCCATCCATGTAGCAATAGAAGTTAAAGAAATCACAGTTAGGTACTTTACCCAACAGATTCAAATTTATGCTACTTGCAAATTAGTGGTATCTAACATAGCTTCAAAAACCACTCAATAAAAATGCATATCAAGGCATCAAACAAAGAAAATTGGTAGGAAATAAAATTGATAATAAACAGTTTTAACAGTATGGAAATGGGAATAGTTTAACCATCGGAGAAAGAGCAGCAATAGCACTGTCCAGCAGCTTCACCTATAGTACCAACAGTAATAACTATAGCGGAAGTCTTTTTGCGATGGTTATGATGGGTGGTTTTCACTGCTAAATCTATACCTCTTGTAATTGAACGTTTATGGCATGGAATATAAGACTACATACCTCATGGAGTGCAGGAGCGTCATTAGTGCCATCTCCAGTTACAGCAACAACATGCCCCTTCTTCTTCAATGCTTGCACAAGCAGAAGTTTGTCGTTAGGTGATGACCGTCCCATCACCTTCACATAAAACAACCAAGTCAGATTTCTGCGAACTTTACCTTTTCTCATTACTGTCATGTACACTACAGATTTACATAAACTATAAGAACAAACAAAGAGGTTGGGCTCTTACGGATATCTTTTCAGCAATTTCTTCTCTTTCTGAATCTGACAAGGCACGGAACCTTTTTCCCTCAATCAGATTAGGCTCAGTAGCATCAGCATCTGAACCCAATATACCACATTCCAGAGCAATTGCTCTGGCTGTTTGAAGGTTGTCGCCAGTAACCATGCGCACCTAGGTAGATTGACAAAAATGGAAACTTTCAATCAGGAAATTGCATAATACATGAAACAAATAAATAAGCAAATCTAGATTATCATAAATTCAAAAGTAAGAAAATCAAAAGATTTTTACACTTATAGTCAGTACAGACTTACCTGCCATCTGTCAACATGTTACAAGTATTACCAAACTATCCTTCCATAAAACATGTGCGACCAAACACAAACATAGCCCTACCTCTTGGTTGGGTGTTTGGTACTTCTACCTCTTTGGAAGAGGATTTGGATTCGAGCACTATGCTATGAACCTCTTCTAAGAGGAATAAAGCGAAAACGACAAAAGCACATAGCAAGCCAGAAGATTGTCCATAATCAAAGGGGTAAATCCAGCTTGAATATTTTTTTTTTAAATATAAATACAGCTTGAATATTACCTTTAAACATTTAAAAATAGAAAAAAGGTACTAAAACATATTGCTTAAATGATCCCAGCAATATTTAGATGAGAATGCTCCTTCAAGAAACCTATAGATGAGAATGCTGTTTAAGAAGCTTGCAACAGGCCATCCACTATCATGGTCCATGACACGATGAAAACAAGAGCAGAAATATTCTTATGAAGAGAACAATAACAAACATATTCTTGAAAGGCTCAAGAACCAAAAATGGTAAATGATACAATGCAAAAAATCACAAAAATTTCCAAGACATGAACAGCAAAACTTGGAAAAAGAAAAAAAAACAACTAAATAAAGGTACCTTGACACCAGCATTTTGGCACAATTGTACTGCATCTCTGACCCCTGGCCGGCAAGGATCCTGCATGAAGTTACAACCCGGGTTAATCCTTAAAACTATTAGATAATTAAATCATACAAGAAATATAGATTAACTTCATTAAAAAATGACAAGTTTGACTATGAGCTTTTGTAATTGTTGATTACCTAGATATTATATAATATGGTATTAGAGCATTCTGAATTCAAAATATGAACCTCAGTCCCATATGTTATTAATTACACGTTCATTGCCCAAATTTTCGCATTTATACAGAGCCCGTAAATTTTGTGTTTGGTTTGCATCTAGATTTGTATCCACATACTAAAATTGGTATCATGCTTTCATGTGAGGAAGTATGTTAAAGCATAAATGATAAAGTTTGATTACTTGCTTTTAGAATAATTTTGATCAGCCAACTCATTAGTCTCCAAGAGAAGACAAGAAATAACTTTAAAAAGTGCACCAAAGGGGTACTACCCATGTAAAAGGTAATTTTTAACATTTTCATAAAAGTAATAGTAAATAAGTATAACTTAGAATGTAAAGCATGAACCTTGCTCCCACATGTTATTGTTTATCCATTCGTTGCCCAATATTTGTACCCACATACAAGACTTGGTATCATGCTTTCATGTAAAGGAGTATGTTAAAGCATAAATGATAAAGTTTGATTACTTCTCTAAGCTTTTCAAATAATTGATCAGCCAACTTATTTTTATTTAAGAGAAAAAGATATAGAAGGGCACCAAAGAGGTGCTGCCGAAGTATAAGGTTATTTTTACCAATCACATAAATGAAATAGTAAACAAGTATAAGTTCAGTTTGGAAAAAAGCATGTAGATTAAAGTGCTATATCAATTGGCACGGTTAGGAAGGAAAATATCATATATACCAATATTTTCAAGCCCACATTATGCACAAATTCACATGATGATAATCCAAATCAAAATGATGATAGATAAATGAGAAACTAGAGAAAATAAATAGAAATTTTACATTTAGATCGAGATAGTGATGACAAAACAAAGTGAGAAAAAAGATACAGTAAGATTCCTGCATTGGTTGTCTGCAAACAATAAATTATCACTACAGGTGATAGAACTCATGGATTATCTTGCTCATACCTTTATCCCAATTATAGCAAGAAGAACAAGGTCCTCCTCAGGTAATGACCACCGAGAAAGTTCTTCTTCATAAGTTGGAACTTTTTCAAACTCATATGCTCTATAGGAAATTGCAACACAACGCAAACTTCTAGCAGCCATATCCTCAATAGATTTTTTGAAATATGTCATCTGCAAACCAAGACAAATATCCACAAAACTGAGAAATATGATAGGATTTCAATATAAATTATCCTACTAAGGCTTGTTTTGTTTTCAAATTTACTCAGATTACATTAAACAATTTGAAAGATTATAAAACATGGAAAAGAGAACTTGATTTATAAATTCGCATCAGGTACTATGTTGATACATTTGCAGAAACAGACCAAAAGTATAAAACATAGACTTATTAAGAATAGTGTTTTATGGACAAAATTAAGATACAGTGTTAAAACCCACATTAAGCCCCCACCTCCCAGAATAACAAAAGAAGGCAGGTGTTTGCTCAAACCTTATCCTCACTCATTTCTTTTACACCATCATCAGCATCAATGTAAGCTGAGCACGAAGCTAAGACTATTTCAGCAGCCCCTTTCCAGTGAATATGAACTCTGCAGTCAGGCTGCAAAGGCATAAGAAAGAAACAAAAAAGTCATAAAAAAGGAATAAAGAGAAATCAAAAATAGAAAACTAAAGGTAGCAGAACAACTTTTGTGGGGGGGCAGAACTAACAAATTTTAACATTGTCAAATGGAATATATTATTTCTCTATTCAGGTATTAACATCCTGTTCAAATGATCATGAAACTTAATGCAATCATTTTAACTATTTAAATTTATGTTGGAAGGATGTACATACGCTGCAAATAGAATGACTAAAGTTTTAGCTTTTGTTTTCATTTCCAGTTCAGGCCATGAATTCAAAGCAAAGCATCTTACAAGTGGAGTTGCTTGACCATTACTAGCAAGTTATCGTTCAACTTGTAAGATGATTCTTTTTTCTTTTGTCCAACAAAAATAGCAACCTTTACCATCTTCCCACCTTAAGGTGATTTTAAACTATCAAAAATAACGACTGTGTGTGTTAAAAGCAACTTAAATCCCTTATGTACCTCTCCGTTATTTGTTTAGGGAAAAGTAATACCTAGGAGATTACATATGGAGGGAAAAAAGGATGTCAACTATTCAAACAGTTAGAAATTTTATCAACTTCAGTTTACGGTGTTAACAATAGTCAGAATCATCACCATTCAAACAAATATATATATAGCCACATTCATCATAAATGATATTTAATTCTAGTTCACATGTTAGAGTTAAATGTGCAAAATAATTAAACAGCTCATTGGGACCTATATGTAATTTTCCTGATCCTTAATTTAAGGATGCTTAGCAACATAAGATCAGTAAAACTCAACCAATATAAGACCAAAATCACCATGGAATAGAAAAACTGAAAACTTTACTAACAAATCTAAAATCACCATGAAGTACAGAAAAAAGTAGTTTCATGTTACCAGTTGCAAGGCAACACCGCCTCTCTTTTTCTCTGAGTTGAATGGGAAAACATGAACAATATTGGATTTCAACCGGACTGCTTCAAAATTCATACCCAGCTGTAAATAAGGAACCATAAACAAGGATTCGTCTCAATTTAACATATTAGACCTAAACACTGGAAAAGGGCAGAAAAACAATACCTTGATTCCCCACTTAAGAATGGCTTGTTCTGTTGGTGATCCAGAAACCTCGACATTACCGCCACCCTGTTAACCATTAAAGTAAATAATGCTATGAAATAACACCATCAATTTGAATATCACTAAAATATCATACAAGCACAAAAGCTTACCTCAGGAAGAAAGACACTGCCATTTGTATTCTGTGCAATTCCTTCAATTAATAATGAGGCAAGGTTAGGTGATAACTGTGAGGCACTCTCTGGAGGATCAATTTTTCTCCCACCAACATAAGCCTCAACCACAGTCATCTAATTTGAGGAAAAAGAAGGAAATCATTACTATTGTGAATTGGGAGAAAGTGAAAGAGTTTTTCTTTACATGGGGAGAGGGGAGGAGTGAAGAGAGAGCTTATAAACCATAAACCATTGAGTTCAATCACAAACTTTTTTGTCAATATAAATAAATGAAGAAACTACAAGATAGTCCACCTGATTCAAAGTTAGAGTTCCCGTCTTATCACTGCAAATAGTTGTGGCAGAGCCCATAGTCTCACAGGCAGAAAGCCTGCGTACCTGCATTGGCAGTTATATTAAGCTACATAGAGACATCTATGCCAATCTAACATAGGGATATGTCAGGATACTACAGAAGCACAGGCACAAGAGCTCATTACACATACCAAAGCTTTGTCTGCCATCATTTTTCTCATCGAATATGCAAGGCTGTGCCATAAGAAAAAAGGAGATAACTACAAATTAGCCGAGAAGAGAATTATGCACTTATCAAGACATAAATTTTCTTCACTAACACAGATTAAGGATGATATTATTGATGAGTTGTGACAAAGTGCAGCATTTGTGAAATGGAGAAGTTATTTAAAAGATGGTTTATAGGTGTGTCGATAATGGCAACATTAAGTGGTATTATGATCAGTAAGAAAGCAAACTTACGTTAGAGTAACAGCTAATGGCAGCCCTTCTGGCACTGCAACTACTACAATTGTAACCTGTATACAGGTATTAGCATAAAATGGAAAGAAAAGAAATTATTATAAACAATTACATAACCCAGTCAAAACCTGCAGGCCAGGAAATATCTGAATAGAAATATACATACTGCAACAGTTATAATTTTTATAGCTCCATCTATAGCACGACCAACTTTTGTCTTTCCTGCAATAAATTGAGTTGCTCCATTTGGATCTTCAGTGTGCCCAGTAAAATATCTGCATAACATCAGATTGTCATGTAACCACCAATTGGGTTATGCCTAGCAGTCCAAGCAAGAGGTGTACAAATCCTACATTATGGCTCAATGGGTAACAAATAGAGAATCTACTTTCAAAAGTTACCTAACCAAAAGGACAACCAAGACAGCAAAAGCTACAGTCAGGCCAACAAGGCCAATGAAAGTTGCAACTCCATTCAAGCGTACCTATAAGAAAACAAATCAAAGGTGAAAAAAACATATATTGTGAGAAAAGCTATCACAATTATAATAGATACGCTAACCTGCAATGGTGTTTCTTCACCATTGTCTTCCGATATACTAGACATTAGCATTCCCCATTCCGTGTTAATCCCCACACTGGTAACCTGGATAAGAAACACAGATTCCTAAGCGTGTTTTCAAATTCACATATTTCATTAAAAACAAATCTCAACTCCCTATGTGTTAAGATAACCAAGTTTGATGACAGAAATGAAAATAATAGAATATATCCCTGCAGGATTAATGATGAAATTCCATAAGTAAAATTTCCAGCACTGATAATTTAAGGAGTGTGATGCAGAATAAGAACATATTATTTTGGAACAAATTTTCAATTAGAGAATTTTTTGTAATAATTATTATTATCTTGTATTTTCGAGTTCTTTAGGTTTACAGATTATTTCTGCATTCTAGTATTCTATTTTCTTATTTAGGTAGATCTTAAGTATCACAAGGATTAGAATCTTTTAGGTTTTCTTATTAGTTATAACCAACGCATATATTGAGACTAGCAACCGATAGAAAAGATACATAAACGATAATGAACATAGAATTTCTTTGCTAGGATTTTATTCCCCGCTATATTTCATTGTGTTTGTTCTTCTAGTTACTACTCTGTCTAACCTATCCCATCCAATTTACTTCTCTCTATGTTTCCTCACGTTGATCCTTAATATCCTCTTGCTTCCTTTATTCTTCCGTTTTTCATATAAATTTTCTCAACTTCCAAACTATCTGTAGAAAGAACTAACTGCTAATCATCCTGCACCAGTTGGTACACAGAGCCATATTGTTATCCCCACCCTCCGTCACAAACATCTAGTACTTCAAGAAAATCAGATTCTTCATCCTGCCAAGAAAAAGAACTTGTCCCTGACAGAAAATAATGATCCCCAAAAAAAGAAAAAGAACCTAATCAGCTGAGAAAAAAATTGAAAAAGAAAACGTTGCACACAGCCCCAGGCTACAACATTAAGCTACATCCCTTGTCAGTCGAGAGTTGGTGTTAAGGACTCTAAAATTAAGAAGATAATTTGCCAACGTGTGCCAAAGGAGGAACAAAAGATTAAGTCCTAAGATGTTGTATCAATGTCATATTATGTCTAATGATTCTGTAAAACATATATTAAGGTGTGAGTGAGACTTAGTCTAAGGTAGAATAAGATAATAAGAGTAGTCTTTTGAAAGGGAGATAAGCAGAGGTAGTTAGTTAAAGGAAAATTAGGACAATATTAACTCAATTCTATAGAAGTTTTTTCTGGAAAGGACACTAAACTATCTTCCAGTTTTGCCTATTATCCTCAAACAGGATGGTCAAACTGAGGTAGTTAATCACAATGTGGGAATGTATTTAAGTTGTATTACAGGAGATCATCTCGCACAATAGGTTACTTGGGTTTCTCGGCCTGAATTTGCTTACAACACAGGCTTTCACTCCTAAGGCTGCTCCTTTTGAAGTCGACTAGGATCGTCCAGTCTCAAACTAAGATGGTTAATCACACAATGTATTTGAGTTGTTTTAGAGGAGATCATCCCACATAATGGATTAATTGGGTTGCTTGGCCTCAATGTGCTTACAACACAGGCTTCCACTCCTAAAATTGTGTCCTTTGAAGTCTCCTATAATTGTTCGGCCCCCAAACTGCTCTCTTACCATCCTGGTATGTCCATAGTATAAGTTGTTGATTTTGATTCGCTACACCATCCTATAAGATCCTACATGCTCAACAACATATAAGAATTCCTATGATCCTCATACACTGTAGGTGATTTGATCCTCCTAAAACTCAGACAATACAATCATACTTGCTTAGGTATAAGGTATGCACACTTAGAAATTAGCTCCCTGTTTTCATGGGTATTTCCCTATTGTTCAGTGCTCAAGAAGTTGCTCATAAGCTTGAGCTACATGTTATTTCCAAGTTGCATCTGGTTCCATATCTCTTCTCTTAACCCATGCCATGCTCAGCAAGTTGTTATTCCTACATTTCCCAATATTCAGCAAGGTGTTCCTCTTCCTTCGCCACAAGCTAAATGAATCCTTGCGTTCGCAATGGTCACTATGAGGTTGTAACATCATCCACAACTTGCGCCTCGGGATAAATTTGCTAAAAGTAAATATAAGCATGGCATTCACGAAAGCAACAAAGGGAAGGAGTTGGAATCTATAGTTAAGTAGGAAGTTGGTTTCTTAAGGAACTAATAAGAGTTATATTCTTTAAAAACTTCTATTACGTAGTTAGATTTAGATGTCAATTAGCAAGTTAGAATAGAACTCAAGAAATATTTTTGTTCTACATCCTACTTCTATCAAAGTGATTCTCGCCCATGATGACTACCTTAAGCAAATTTCCAGGGATGATTTCATTTTAACTCGCAAGGAAGAAAAAAATGTATACAAATTCTTGCAAGGAAGAAAAAACACAGTGATATACTACTAAACTCCAGATTTAGTGGCGATTTATCAGAAAACTTTAGGGCGTCATATTAATCAAAGTGTTGCACGATCTTTTAGGAAGTACTAAACTGATGCTCACAACATAAAAGAAATTTGTTGTAACAGAACATTTCAGTATAAAGAGTGGAACAGTAGATATATCAAAAAATTTTGTATTATTTACTGAACAATTTAATGCACATGAGAGGAAAAATGCTGATACTTGTCCAGATTAGTATGATAGACACTTCTTTAAGTTTCGACCTCAGTGATGAAAAAAGAAAGGGAGAGGATATACATTTAATCTCAATGTTTAAATCAGTTTAAATCAATTACATAAGATAGGTATTGTCTGTTCTCTTTTCCTGTTTGTGTGGCAAAGAAGCTTTGAGGCACCTTAATGCCACTTCCTTTTGGATGAAGCAACCTTTCTCTAAGGACAACATTTCTTGCCAAGTGGCTTTGGAGGTTTAATGTCAAATTGAGTAGGATTTTTGGTGAAAGGTGATTAGGGACTGAATTGAATGATTCAGGTTGGGGGCAAAGCATCTAAAGATGTCGGTATGGAGTGGAGTTCTATAGCTGCATCTCCATGAGAGTTGGCACAAGTAAGTCCTAGCTTAATGCTTCCTTGATGTGTCCTTTTTAACTTGAAGGAAAATGAAGCGTTAGCACAAGCTTTTCTCTATTTGACTGGTCAGGTACTATGGGGAATTGGCCCTGTCAAAAACCTAAATGATTGGTAGGAAGATGAAGAGAAACTTTTGCATCACCTTTCCTCTTGCTTACTCTCTCCCTCCGAGGGTTGCACAAGTGAGTTCTAGCTTAATGCTTCCTTTATATGTCCTTTTTGGCTAGAAGAAAAATGAAATGTTAGCACAATTTGACAGGTCAGGTACTTTGGGGAATTGGGCCTGTCAGAAACCAAAATGACTGCATCAGCTTTCCTTGCGCTTACTCCCTCCCTCTGGGCCAATGTGCTGGAGTGGAAGCTAGGCACTAATGCCTGCCTTCTTGCGAAACCCTTCTACAAGCACCTTGCTTCCCTTTCCCGCTCAAATTGCTTTCCATGGAATTATACTTGAAACTATATGCTTCTCCTAGAATTTCTCTGTTTTGTGGGTTTTCCAAGGCAACTCGGCTGATAAAAGGAGAAAACTACTTATTTCTCTTATCCCCTTGGCTACTTTATGTCATTTGGAAAGAGAATAAAATGGCGTTCAAGAGTTTCTGATAGCGATAGAGTTTTATGTCCTAGGCCCTGTGTCTTCTGTTAACTGGTCAATCCCTTAACTCTGCAGATGACTTAAGGACCTAATAAAATATTTGACATACCGTAAACTCCCTTTTCTGTTCTAATCAAGCACCATTGCTTTGACACCCTAATAATGCAGTATCTCTTATGCTCTTCGAAGAAGATAGACGTCATCTAATACGAGTTCGTACTAAGTCGGCACGAGAGGCAGCTGTAGTTTATATTCTGAATTTTAAAAGTTTTATTAAAATAGTTGTTCACTAAAATAACTTTTAGTCAAAAGTTATTTGCTGTTTGATAGAAGTATCTTAAAATTGCTGTCACTTTAAAAGAAACTATATTTAGTGAAAATAACTTATCAGAGTTTAAGCGCAAATTTTTGTTAAAAGCAAAAACTATTTTTAAAAAAAGTTATATATTGTAACTTTTATATTCAAATCTATCAAAAGCATATTTCAGCTTCATTTTTGCAAAAGTGCTATTGAAATGCCAAAGTCAAAGATCAAGTCATCATTTTTGTATCTTTCTCTTTTCCTATTAGATGAATTAAACATAAATCTCCAAAATCTGGTTTCATTAGGGGTAAGTAAAATATAAGTCGTGATCTGAATATTATCAGGTACTGCAATACAAAATATCATTTGTTTATGTTTAAGAAAATGTTTATTATCACTTTATTGCATAAGATTATGAAGGCTTTGACTAAGAATACTTCTCCCTATCATCAGATTTCTGTAACCAATCTCATTTATCTCTCAACCTAGCCAAACTTTCTCTAAGTACGAATTTTTTTTCTACAAGTCCACCCATAAGCATGAAACTGTACTCCAGTAAATATCACAATTTGCACCATTTGTGTTAAAGAGTTAATAAACGTGAAACAAAAAAGAAACAAAAATCCGAAGTTTACCAGCATTGTGCCACTACCATCTGCTACTTTACAGCCAGACATTAAAAACGGATCCTTATTGGAGTCCTTGTGAACCTACAAAGCAACCGATAAACCTTATAGTTGTTGAAGAGAGAACAATTTATTATTGATGATACAATTACAAGTCCAGCTTACAATTTTGCTTTCACCAGTCATGCTGGATTCATCAATTGAAAGGGAGTGACCCGAAATTAGTACTCCATCAGCAGGGACCTATAGATGGCTTTAGAACACTGAATCATTTTCCTATATCATACAAATAATTTTTTTACGCAAGAAAAAGGAAAAACCCAAAGCCCACTTGCCTGATCACCAATGTTAAGAGGAATAACATCTCCAACCACAATATCATATATTGAAACATTAACTCTTCTGCCACCTCTAATAACCTGCAGATGTGTTCCTTCAAATATAACGACAAAAGCCATTGACATCCACAATCAAACACAATGCCGCAAAGACAAACCTCCAAATGTATATTTCTCTTCTCCTCACTTAAATTTTGGAACTGAAGAGATTGTCTATAATCACTGATAGCTGCAAAAAGAAAAGGCAATGCATTTAGATAGGTGGGATATAACTTCAATCCAGGAGAATAGAATTGACATTCAAGGATAAAATATTTACAGAACATAATAGGGTACCTAAATAAGATAAGCATACATCCCAATACTTTTTGTTTAAATCCTCAAAAATAAAAGCCAGTCTAAAGGCGCATGGTATGATAACAAGATCGAGATTGAAACTATTGTTTGTAAAAGGCATCACAGATTCAGTTCAATACCGGTCACAACAATGACAAGAATAACTGCAAAAGCAATGCTCCCACCATCATACCATCCTTCCTTGATACCCTATAAAAAATAAACAGCACAAAGCTTGAAAACTCAACAAAAATAAGCAATAAGAATAATTTAAATATCAAAGAAACCGATTATCATTAAGTCCGAAAGAGAAGATATGTATTAATTGCAATTTTGCACAAAAGATGTCAAACAGAATGCAACGGATTCTAAAATCAGTAACAAAGAAGATAAGATGATGTTTTGGAAGAGACTTACAGAAAACTCACAAGAAACTAAGTCATAAAACCCTTAAAGAGCATCAGGAACATGCACTTAAAATGTTGTATAATTTACCATGTCCAAGAAAGGCTCACCTCAGACTTAATACCCAGCGCCAAAGAAGCTACTGCAGCAACCATCAATATGATCAATGTAAGGTCTTGCCAAGATTCCCAAAGGAACCTCTGTAATGCGCATGAAGGAAAAAAATGAAGATAAAATATAAACTTAAATACTCTAGAAAGATAAAGAAAAAAATCTTTGAAAAAATAACAATAGAATTCAAAGGTTGAACCAAATTTGAAATTTATCATACCCAGAAACTCCTTCCTTTCTTTCGAGGATATGTATTCGAGCCAAATATATTTCTCCGCTTCACTAAGTCGTCATCATCTCCAGGAATTCCCTTCTCTAAGTTTGTTTTTAACAAATCTGATAGTCCTTTAACCTAATAAAGAAAGAAAACAAAAGAAGAAAATGTGAATAAGTAAATAATAAAATTGCATTTAAGATGAACAATTTATGGTTGCAGACTTGCCCCCCCATACTGCTGAAGCTCAGAAAGATTATGATCCCTTGACATTGCCACAAGTTGTTCCTGTCCAACTGCAAAATCGCCAGTCGGCGTTGAAGGTGCAGGTGGAATTCCTAAAAGATAAAACAACCAAGTTATTCATACTACTGCTAAATATGCCCCTTCTAGGAAAGCTTTAAGTAGGGAAGCCTAGGGCTCTAGCTTATGGAGGTCCACTAGTAGGGATTGAAGCTCTACTTGACAGATGGTAAAGATTATTCTGAGACTAGGAGAACCATTGGTGCAATGAAGAGCCCTTGAAAGACCAATTCCTAGGAGTGCTCAGCCTTGCTAGAAGTAAAAAGGCCCTAGTCGGTAATTATGTATGGAGGTGAATGGTTAGGAATGTGGAACATTCATCTTTTTCAGAATTTGAAAATTTGGGAAATGGATGATCAAATATCATTACTGCCACTCTTGGACCTCGCAAGTTCTTTCCAGATTACCTAATTACATTGCTCTGTTTTGCAACTTGATTTTATAAATGAATTTAAAAGGAAAGTTGAGTACCATTTACTCGTTCCCCTGCTGCTTTAAAAAGATATGCAGCCTAACATAGCAAAAACACACAGATTAGATACTAAATGATAATGGCGACTGCATAGAACAATAACCAAGTTGGGAAAATGTATACCCTTATTGCCTGTGCATGTGCTCTAATCTTCCTTAATATTTGTTTCTTCTCTTCTTCCTTTTTTAAGTCTAAGGTGTATCTGAACCGACGAGAAGCATTTAGCACAAGCGCAGCTTGCTACAAGAAACAATTTTTAACCAACATCAATACTTAAAACAGGATGTGCAAATATGAATCAAAATAAAAATACAACATAGGCATAACAAGACGAGGACCAAAAAGAAAATATGATCAAATTATTAGTCTTTATAAAAATGTATAAACAATTTCCATCTAAATTTATACAAGCATCTTGGTTCTTGATGCCATAGGAATAGTTAGTAACAAAAGTGTCCATCCAGGTGAAAAATCTTAGACAAACTATTATTATATATTTATGTCTGAATAAAGCACCTATAAGTCATTTCTTAGGTCAAATCCAAATCTCTTACAGTTACCACAGGAAACCCCAAACTTGGGAGCGGCAATGACCCCAAACATGTATAGTGACAGTTACTAAAACAAAGGTTCTACTAAATCTGCACAAGCTCTCCCCATCAACGCCCAACAAATATCTGAGAAACATAATAAAAGCAGCCAACAAACTGTTATGCTACTTGAACAGCTAAACCAATATCTAGACATTCTTGATGATTATTTTTTGAAAAAGTCAGCTCTCTCCTCATAACTTCATAACCAATATCTACACAAGAAACATGTCATTTCTTTCTTCCCATAACTCCTAAAGAAAACATGGTAGTACCTATATTTGTATATTCTTCCTTCATATGCTAATACTGTAACTGTCCCTCTATTGCTATGTGAATTTTGATTCAACCAACTAATTTCACCCTAACATGTATTCCTAGCTAGTGGAAGAAAGAGTGGCATCCAGTCCTACTCCAAACAAAAACGAGATTACTAATATGGAAACACTAAACTACCGATAAGTATCCAAAAACTTTTGAAAATAAATTGGAAAAAAGGAACTACATACTGGTAGAAGGAATCGGATAGACAGAGACCTAATTGTAAAACAGTTACAGAACAGCTTATATACAAATTGAAGAAAATACACATGTATTCCATTTGCTAAACATATTCAACTGTTTAGTAAAAATATCACAAACAAACGCCTGAAGAAAACCATCAACACCAAAAACATGCACGAAGAAACAGCAATTCAGCACACATCACAAATTTCGAAATAAGAGAGAGATAAGAGCATTACTCTCCATCTGCGGAGGCGTTCTATGGAAACATTCTTAGTGCTGGCGATGTCGAACGGATCAGATGAACCATCGTCAACAAAATCGGTGGAACGGCTGCTTCCCGCCTCCAAATCTTGATGTCGCCGGTACGGCGACCCCTTAATTAAGGTACTCATTGCTGTCGCAGGAGAGATGACACCGTCAGTCCCTATCGAACCCTCTTATCACACCTCATTCACTCCACTATCATAACAAAACAAAAAATGCACTCGCTACTTCGTCACAGCAACACCTATAAAGCACACAACACGTACAATTCCCCTGCGCCCTAAATCTTATCCCCGAATAACCCTCTCCTGCAAATCTTTTAAGATATTTTCTCCCTCGAAATTCACGCCGCAAACCTCTCCTCCTCGAAAATTCTTGCTCGCCGCAAATCAGAAACCAAAAATATTTCGAAATAATATAGAGTCTAATTAGAAACCAGAGAACAGTTCCCAGAGCAGTTTCTTCCTGTTCCTTGACATTTCCATGTTACCTATCGCTTTTTTGCTATACTTTTTCAAACCTCACTTACTTTCACAGTTGTAAAACGACTAGTAGGTCGACGAACACATGTTTCAACCAGTATAAAAAAGTCGCTCAAACGTGTTCTTCGCTCCTCAGTTCACATTTCACACAATAGAACCTCCTAGGAGAAGCCAGAAGGCAAACCGACGGATAATATGGTAATTTCATTTTATATTGACACACATCGAAGAAATAGACAAAAATGTATACTGTAGAAAAAAGAAACGTTTTAACCTCCCGTTATTCTTCCGCTTGTACGAAATACGTACACATACCTGCGGTTACGGATTAGTGTTTCAATGAAAAGACAAACGGAAGACTGTCTATCTTCTTCTTCTTCTTCTTCTTCCTTCTTCTTAATTGCTCCTCCTGAAAATCTTCTGCCATGAAAATCAGTCAATAGCAAGAGTCCACTCTAAATACGGAAACGAGAAATGTGCATTTTAAATTATTTATTTTATGTTCTTTTTTAAAAAAAATAAAAAATAAAAAAGAGCATGGATTCGAAACGCGTTTTTTCCTTAAAACTTTCGCATATTAATTTAGTCATTCACGCTGTTTCTTTTGGTTTGGTTACACTTTTTGTTTAGTTGGTCATGTTAGGGTTGTGTGCTTAGCTTAAGAATGGAGGCAAGTAATAAATAACGTGGTTTCCTCTTTTTGGGTGGTGGGGGTTATGCTTCGATGCCACGCATGAGTTCTCTCTCAAATGGACCATCATTTCACGCTGACATCGTGTCCCCATCGGACGGTTGTCCTGTCATCAATCGTCATCAATGGTATGTGCTTGTCACGTGGCGTGAATGAGGGGAAGGCGACATTTTTTTTTTATTTTATAAAATATGTTTTTTTATTATTATCAAGAAACCTTGACAATTCGAGAATAATGGGCGAGGAAATAATAATAAAAAAATTTAAATTTTGGTAATGTCGGTCGAAATAAAATATATATTTATTGTATTGTGAGTACGGTTACACGAAATCATTAATTAATTTTTTATTTTTAGAAATAAATATTTCTCATCATTTATATTTAACCGGCGGATCTCTAATTTACACCTTCCTCCAAAAGCTAAGGTAAATATTTCAAAAAGCTTAACTTTAAAGATTGTTATTGAGTTTTAATTATTTCTTAGATTCGGTTACTGATTAATTAATTCTATAATTGAATTTTAATTTTTTAATTTATTATTTAATTAATTTATTTATTAACATAAATATATTTTGATATATTTTCACTATTTAACAAATATATATATATATATAAAAAATTATCGTTGTAAATGTCGAGTGAGTTAAATTTATAATAAGTGCAAAGCAAATTAAATCGAACATGTTTATATAATCTGAATTGAGGGGTATCAAGATAGAGAAAACATTAACTCGAATAAGTTATCAAAATTATTTATTTTTATTGTAATAATTATAAAAATTATAGACTAACTTATAAAAGTAGTAAAAAAAATCATGAATACGTTTACTATTGATATCTACCTTTTAATTATTAGTTCTACTTTTGTTTTTCTGTGCTTTGTTTCGTAGTTGGACACTTATATTTTATTTTTTATTTTTTAATGCTTTGTATGATATAATTTTTTTCTTTTTTTATCTAACACCTATACAAATTTTATTAGTACTTATATATATTTTTTATCTTAAAAAAAATATAATGTAGTTTTTTAAAATGTGTACAATCTTTTTATCACACACAACTATACGATGTCAAAGTTGCTTAATATATGTAAATACGACGATATACTATTTTTTTATGAGCTTTATCTCAAAACAAATTATGAAAATATGTATTTTTATATGAAGTTAAATTTTTGTACAACTAATATTGAGTGGTAAACTTAGCTAAACAAATCAATATGTTATTATAATATATACGACAAGATAGATGAATTAAATAAAAGTCATTAAACTCTAACATCAAATTTTTGTTTATGCAAAAGATAACTCTTTTAGAAAATATGACGAAACATCATAATGATATATCTGTGACTTATTATAGTAACTGAGATTTGGATGGAGAAAAAAATGTATTTATATATATATATATATGGTAAGAATAATAATAATATATAAACAATATATATATATATATATACACTTGGGAGAGGAAGAGGAGCGAACGATGTCGTTTGGAGGATGAGATGGACGGCTAAGATAGGTGGGGTTTGTGAGAGGGAATGGAGGGCTAGGATGAGTGTAGATGGTGAGATGGGATGGACGGCCAAGATGAGTAGTAGATGGAGTATAAATAGGAGGAAGAAAAAAAAAGAGAAAAGAAAAAGAAAAAACAGAGGAGGAAATAAAAGGGAATAACGGGAAAGAGAATTATGACGTTTGTGATAGAATATTATTCGAGATAGAGAAAAGTCGGAGAGGGAAGGAACGAGAAAAGAGAGCGAGAGAATGTGGAAGGCAACGGTGTGAGCTACGGAGAAGCAGA